TATTATTCTGAGTTACATTTCAACAGTCATTAGTTGTGATTGAATTGATGCTACAAATTGACTTCATTTCTAATATTTTGAAATATGATTTAATGTCCCATTTATTAAGAGATACGGCTATTAATAAGCACACGTAAAGCAGAATATCTTTTGAGTGTTTATAATTTTATTTTTATAATTTGTAGTATATTTTAAAATAGTTAAATATAAAGTTATTTAAGGCTGTTGTCTGACAATTAAAATATATAAAGAACTGCTATTTTGTTTTCGTTAATTGTGGTTATGATTACGTAACATTTTAATTACAAATATGCTTTTAAGTTTAATATAATACTAATTAGTTAGTAATAATATTAATTAGTTGATTAGATTAATAAATCTGTTATATTTAAAAATTAAGGCATTTTAAACTTGCGCTTCGTTGAAATCTAAGCAAAATGAAGACATTTAATAAACATTTTCTCAATTCAATGAGCAATTGATGAGAACATCACTTCTATTAGTTTCTATGGAAACACTTTTCCGGACGTCCGGCGCCTTCAGACCCATTAGTTTTCAATAGTTTTTTTAACGATCGTTNGTCCGGCGCCTTCAGACCCATTAGTTTTCAATAGTTTTTTTAACGATCGTTTAAGTCGTTTTGGTTTTCTTTATTAATAGGAAACACATTTCAAAAGCTTTCTGAACAAAAAACAAATATTATTTGAGTTTTGGGACACTCTTTCATTATAAATGTTTGATATCTAAAGAAATGAAAGTCATATTTTAAAAATTAAAGTAAAACAGTATTATTAAAGTGAATATTCTTACATTCTTAACTTTATTTTATTTTCAGATGATTATAAAATATACTATTAAATAAATTAATTTGTTGGTTATTTTTTCAATATGTTGTTTGAATGGTACTGTATTGATATGGAAAAACAAAATTTATTAGCTTAATTGTTTGGTTTGTATTAAATGTAATTATAATTAAGTGAATATTTGAATGCATTTTGTTATAATTTATAGAATTGTGTTATAATAAGTAATACAGTAATATGATACTGATGTGTATATTGAGAAATTAATGAACAACTAAATGATGTATTGATAGGATGAGGAGATAATCCATTCATGGCTCTCGCGAATCCACTTCGAGGAATACGCCAATAACTTCATCCGTGCCGGTTATGACATGCCCACCATCTCCAGAATGACACCTGAGGTCAGTTGCTCTCAGTCTATGCTTTTGTAGTCTACCATTAAGTGATATATTTATCAATAGATAATTCATTTTTATTGTATTTTATCAATTATTGGACACAATGCGATAATGTTAATAATTTTGTTTCCACAGTAGTTTACTCTATATTAATACTAACAAATAATTATAATGTAGTAAATGGATAATAATTATTAATGCTATGTATGTGTACAGAATCTTATTAAAGTATATAATAATTATATTATTTATGACTTTCTATTGTATATACATTTTGAAAAGAGAATCTCTAATAGCATTACCGCTAGAAACTAGTAATAAAAATATAATTTTGTAGATACGGTAATATCATTTTAGTACCAATTATACTCATTTTAAACAGTAAAATTTGTTGCAATTGATGAAATTACTATATCATTTTTGAAAATCTTTACTGATAATTTAACTAGATTAAATTCTTTTCTACTACTCTTCACTCTAAAAAGAGATTTTAACAAATAAAGCAAAATATTAGTGTTTTAGTAAAAATATATGTAATTACAGTATTTAATTGTTATACAAACAAAGAGTAGGTTTAGAGTTGTAAAATTTGTAATATGTTGACATCTTTAATATTAATTAGGAGTTCAATATTTTCTATTTTTGACATAAATCAGTGCATTGTATTTAATTTCTTCAGGGAAATATTACTGTTTATTATTATTGTCTAAAGTCTAGACGCGAGTCCAGACATCTATTTATATATCTGAAATGAAGTGAAGTGTAGTTAAAATGATTTGAATATATTTTACAATAAAGGATTTGACAGCAATTGGTATCACAAAACCACAGAAGAGACAAATTCTCAAAACAGAGATTCAAAGGCTTAGTATCGCTGATGGGATTCCCTCTTTCAAACCCGTAAGCAATGAATCGATTCATGAATGAATGATTGAATTTTGATGTTTTTGGTGTTGACTTAGAACTCACTTCTGGAGTGGTTGAAGATATTGCGTTTGGAGGAGTACTTCCCAATTCTATGTCAACAGGGATATGATTCGATCGATAGGGTGACTGAGCTGGCCTGGGAGGACCTGGAGGAGGTGGGCATCACTAAGTTAGGTAATGATCTATTGATTATCTCTATACAAATGGTTTTGTCAATGAGTTGTGTATTGATTGAAAAGGC